TTCATTCTTTCTGGTATGTCACAACTCCGATGGCACACTATCAATTGAGTTTTTCAATTGCTATTTATTCCCTTACTCAACAACAGTGACATTTTTTTTTTTTTTTCTGTTTTTTGTGTGGAGATTATAAATTGGTAAATTTTTTGTATCCTTATGTTCTCACTTTTTGCTCATTGGAAAACTATTAGAGCTAATAAATACACCATTATTGTGTATCAACTGTTATTTAATTCAATTTTATGTTTTTTTGAGAGTGGATCAGTTGTCATACCCTTTTGATATGAGTTAATTTACTTATTTTTTTTCTAAAAATAATTTCGAGATTTTATTGAAACTACTGTTACTGACACAAAGATACTCTATTTTTGTTTAAATAATAATAGTCACTTCAATTGCAATTCTAAAAACACAAAGTACTAGAGTTTTTGTCGTGAAACACTTTTCCATTGATAATATATAGGGTCCAAAGCCCTCCATTGCATCCTATAATGACAATTTTAAAAAATATTAGTAATTGAATTTTTTTTTTATAAAACTAACAAGTAGATAATACATAATTTAAAATATAAAAAGTCGGAGTATGTACGAATAGAACAAGACTATTGTTATATCTTAATACCTTATATGTCAATATTTGTCCAAAGAAAGACGAAATTGTAATTTTGGACTTCATTCAAATAAATTATAAAGAGTAAGATTTAATTGATATAAAACAAAAATGATATGACCTTATGGATGTTTGCGGGAAAAAATAATACTTATTAATAATTTTTTCAAAATTATATATATTACTTCGTATATAAAAATATCCACAAATTATCTATATACTTTATTTATTAATGAATTCGTATGATACATATTCGATACATTGAAATATTCGTACCGAAGGACCCACTATGATTCAATTCACTTCTAGGCCCCATGTTTCATCATATGATCCGCCAAAATGCTGTGGCAAAGCAAATGGGTCAGCCCGTGGGGAATGGACCATTAGCCTCAATTGGTTGGCCATAAATGCAACAACCTCTTTCTCTTTTTATACAAGAATTTTCCTGCCTCATTTTAAAAATTTAGGAAAATAATCCTCCAAAATCGTATTTTGAAGGTCCCGGTAAAGAGTAATATTACATGGATTTAAAATGTTGACTTGAGCAATTACTATCATTGATTTAACTGTGAGTTTCAGTATTTATTAGGACCTATTATCTATTCGATGATTGTGATTGATCAAGTCAAAATAATATTTTTTTTTTCTGATAAATTAGTCATTTTAATGAAAGATATTAAAATCTATAAATTAATGATCCACTTTAAACGTTAATTACAATTATCTAGAACCAAAACACCATAATTGTCAACCATTTTCCTTCTATTTACCAAAAACTTAGGGCACGTTTCTTTCGGATATCAAGTAGCGAGTGAGATTGGGTTAAATTAGTTGTATGGTAACTTAATACTATGTTTGAATCAAGTTAGAAGGTCCAATCTTATAGCATGAGTTAATATAGATATAATATTATAATGTCAAATACTCCGAACACAAGGTATAAACTAATCCCACGTGAGAGGTGGAATAAAATCACTCACAATGAGAATTAAGATCAAGGATGAGGAGAGGTACCATTGACTTTGTGTTGGATTTAATTCAAGTTAAGGCAATAGACTCGCACCTTATCCTAACAGTGAAGCAAACATTGTATAAATGAAATAGGATAAAAGTTGGACTGATTATTATATCCAGTTTGGATTAAATTGAAATCAATTATAAAATCACATGCCATGTTATAAGCAACCAAGCACCCCCTTAGGATAGTAATTTGATGAGCATGTAAGGCATACTCTATTTTCTAAACTTATATATGTTAGCTAGAGAACAATGGGCCCCCATTGATGAAACTGCTTTAGGGCCTTTGAAGTATCCGTATAGAATGTACTTCCAGTGAAGGCCTTCAAAGTCTAATGGACCCTATATGGACGTGGACATGGGCCCTATGTAGGTAGGTGATTTGTATCCTTCTCGCTGCAAGGACAATGAAAGCTCATTTAACCAGAAAACCATTACCATTGTCTGCAGTACTAGTGTACTTTGGGCATGTTTGGCACGTGGGATAAAGGAGAATTTGAAATATGGGTCGGAAAAAGTTCATAAAACCCACCGATTGACAACTACATTTTTAGTCTAGCTTATCAAACTTAGTCTGCTTTAAGCCCACAATGTAAACTCATGTTAATAGGTTTTATGAAATCCGATGCAGGGTGGGTTTCATATGAGATTAAAGGGTTGAACATATAAAATGATATTTATACTCCTATATAAGTCATATATTCCAAATAATCAAATATTTATGTCCTAAATAATTAAATATTAAAATCATAAGGACACAAAAAAATAAATGTATACGAACATGAGTTTGAATTAAATTGGTTAACGGGCACAATAGTTATTTATATACAAATATATTATCATAATAGTGATATATCCGTGCGCATGCCAAACATGGATATATACGCGATTGAATGTTGAATATTATTTTTATAAAAAGGGTTTGAGTTTAGAAGAGTTTAAACATGCTAATCCAAGCCCCTCCCAAAAAATTAACCAAACAAGCCTTTAGGGTGTGTTTGGATAATCGGCAAGGATAGGAATAGATTAGATTTTTTGTATCTTAACCCATCCCAGCCAAACTCATTCAGACACTTAATTAGATGGGTTATGTATACCATCCAACCCAAACCATTGTTTGGCAAGGAACAATTGAATGGGATAGACTCCACTTGACTTTTATAGATATTTATCATTGTACCCATTGATACCTATTGATGAACCAGACTTGTACAGTAGTCACCACCAGCGTCGCCACAACAGAAACACCACCACCACAATAGAACATAACACCCACCACCACAACCATAACAGAACATCCTACCATAACCACAATAGAACACCCACCACCACAACATAAACGTCGCCACCACCACCACACAATAGAAACATCCACCATTATCAGATCTGAAAGATAGAGAAATTAGACTTTCAAAATCATCCACCATTGTGGTGGATGATTTGGACTGTGAACAGTCATGGTTAGGGGTGGTGTTGGTGAAGATCTCTTATTCATTCTGTCCACTCCGGCACCCAAACTCATCCCAATAGAAACCCTGGGCTTGGGCTTTGTCGCCTTCACAAAGCGAGAGAGAGAAAAAGAGAGAGAGAGAGAGAGAGAGGACACAGACAAAGAGTGAGAGGTAGAGGTCTGGATAGAGAGAGAGCTCTCAAGAGAGGAAGATGGGTAAATATGTCATTATCCTTCATAACCCATCAGCTGGGATTGAAACCCAGGGTGAAGAGGGGTTAATTTTAACCCATGTAACAGGGTTAAAAAGCACTGTAGCATCCGAGTCAAGAATAGACCCGGGATTTATATCCTATCTCAATTTTGACTTCCCAAACAAAGAATTTTGTGAGACCCATTGCCTTATTACCCTATCCCTATGGAGGTTAACCCACCTTAACCCATTACCCAAACACACCATTAGTGTTAGGGGGTGTGTATTTTTGGTAATTGACACATGTTTTGTTAAACCCCCCGTAAGAACTATAATTTGACTTTTATTTGAAGAATATCCCACAAGAGTTTCCATTAAATGAATAACGGATCCAGATCCTAAAAACAATAAAGCTTTCGAATAGGCATGAGTAATCAAATGAAATAAAACACACATGTGTTTGTGCCTACATAAGTGTGTATTAGAGATAATGGATTAAGCAACAAAACAAGCCTTATCTCTTTGTGCAACTCTATCCGCAACTGATCATAGGATTCAATCTTCACTTGTACACAATCTTTTACATTTTGTCCACTATATATACACCATATGTCTGAATGTACATTGAATATATTTAATACAAATCTCCGATTCCTATAGTATACACGCACGTGTACAAACTTTTGAACTTGAAGGCCTCGTTTTAAGCATAAATGACAATGTTCATTTAATTAGAAAAACCATTATTATTGCCTCCATGTGTGTGTGTGAGATAGATAGAGAAAGACAGAGACAGAGAACTTGCACACGTATGGTCTTTTTGGTATGCATGATAGAAAGTAGGAAAAAAAGAAAAGTGGAAGGGATAAACTTTTCATTCTTGAAGGAAAAAAAATTATTTTCTTTCTATTTTGTTTGGTAAAAGGGATGAAAAGTAGAAATGATATATTTTTCATCGTTTGGTATTAGATGAAAAATGAAAGGAAAGAAAAAATATGCATGCTCAATTTATAATTCTACCCTTATATTAATTTTCAAGTAATTAATAGCAAAGGGTAAAAAATAAAATAATCCTTAAAAGTCAAATTGTCCTGCATTCCTCTCATTTTCCTCCCATTTTTTGGAGGGAAAACAAATTGTGGGCAAGAGAGAAAAGTTCTCCATCCAATTTTCCTTTCCATCATTCTTTCCTTTGATACCAAACAGTGAAAAACCTTTACATCCACCCCATTTTCCATCCATCCAACTTTCATTCCAACCAAACACAGTGGTATATCATGAATGATGAGATCATGCCATATAAAAGCTTATGTCCCAAATTTTTGAGAATCTCCGGCAAGTACGGGCACGTGCCATTGTTCTTACGGCCGGCTGGCCCAATGAGCTAGACTATTGAAAGCCCAATAATCTGGCCCTATAAGCTGGCCTGATATTATATTTATTTCTTTTTAAAATAACCACTTTTTATTATCAATTAATTTACTTCTTCTAATATTATTTTAAAAAAAGCTCTATTTAAGGCTCATTAGAGGCAGCCTGCTAGTTGGCCCATCAGGCAGGTCATTGACCCATGGGTATGGATATTTTTCAATGGGCTGGCCTGTCAATTGATCAAAGCCCAAGTAGCCCAACCGACAAAGGGTTTGATCCCAAAAAGCTGGCCCGGCCCATTGCTAACTCTCAAGAAAACCTTTTTGAAATCCTGCTAGGATACTGCCCCTCATCTCTTTTTGGGCCATTTATAGACAAAATAATCAAATAGCATTCCCATAGACTATTCAAAGCACTAAAATTAAGCAAGTGCAAGGACTGGTCAGATTTGCAGCTATTAAGCAACATTTGTTGCCATTTCATTTCATTATACAAGTTGTTTCCAAGAGAGTAGAACTTTAAGCAAGAAAACACTTCTCAGAAGTATTACTTCCTAACCTATATCTCCATTCCTTCCCTTGCCAAGCTCCACAAGCAGAGTCAACAGAGCCTCAGAAATTTCACAGGCACCATTCTCACATTGATCGTTCTTCCACGAAGAGAAAACCATCCATCCATGATCAAGTTTCCAATTTGGTTTCACGACAACCGAGCCTGGAACTTCAGCATCACGGCATGTAACCATCCCATCACTCTTCTCGCCATACCTTAGTCGCAGGTGCAGTGCACACACAGCCATTGCAGCAGACAAAGGAAACACCACTGGCACCCTCCTCCCCCCTTGGACAACAAATTCAGACTCCTCACTGCCAAGACTATGAAAAGGGAACCAAGGAAGTTCTGCGTGTGCAATGTGGGCCAATGTGGTAATGACACCCGGTGCTACACCCGCTTCAGAGTGGAAGGAGATAAGAGGAATATTTTGGGGTAGCTTGTGCGTCATAATGAATTTCTTCCGTTTCTCATATGTCAGGTCCTCCAATGCCCGCATGTCACCCTATAAAAGTTTATTTTACCTTAGTTTACTTCTTATAAACAACAAACCTGTTTACGAAAATACAGTATGTAAACATATTGCTAAATATAAAACAGGGGAAACAAATGAAATCAGTGCAATTGATTATGAGAATAGCAGGAATTCAAGATGTGTATAAGCCCTACACACACTATGTTAAGACCATTCCTCTAGCTGAGCTTTGGTGTGAACTAATAGACTGCAATTAGCCTATAATGAACAATATAAACACGGCTAAACCAAAACATGTGGAATGAAAAATGTAGTTTCCCGAATTCATCATCGATATAACAACCAAAGGGAGAGGCCAGTTGTATAGCTGCTAAGTTTCACGAGTACCACTAATTTAGAGGATCAAAAACAGGACCAGCTGTTCAAGCATATATAGACTTCTGCTGAGTTTTTTCCAACATCAAAACCACTCCCTTTTAAGTTGGGTTATATGTGGCTAAGAAACATATATCTTCAAATCATGCTGCAATGATTTCCTCAACTCCATATAAGGCTATGGATATTTTAGGCCAAGAGAAGGAATTACCTTTATGAGCTTGCATATAATGAGCTCCATGATCCTCCGGGTTTCCTTGTCAGCTATCTGGCCCTCACGAAGAATATCAGAAGCTACAGGAGTGCCACCGAATGGGCATTGCACCACCGCCAATCCAGCAACTTTGTCCTCTAAGTCACACCAATAAAGAGACAAAGCAGCAGCAGCATCAATCCCACCCTTGCTGTGACCAAGCAGCATCACTCGTTTGCCAGACCCCCAGTACAGCTCCTCAATGTATTGCTTCAATACCCATGCATTGTGCTCCACTGGTGCCTTCATAAATCACTTAAAATATTAGAGAAAATGATATGATATTTGTTGAAGTTGCAGGAAAGAAAGAACAATTGGAAGAGGACACGACCATGATACAGAGAAATAATGACAAAAAACTATGTTTTTGGGTTTGGACGAAAACATCCAAAGTTCCCTTCAATATCTAGAAAATTGAGGAGAATCGCTTTTTATACCTCGCTGTGAATTTTTGCAATATGGCAAGGTAAACCCATCTTTGAAAAGAACCTCTTGGTGCTCACAAAATATAAGGGACCATGATTGCTAAAAAGCCCTGACAATGAATTTCACAAGACAATGGAGCCATAAACCAAAGCAAATTTTAATGGATGAGTAGAAAAGTAAGATCGAGAAATTTTTCACACCTGGAATTAGCAGATAAACATATGAATCGGGCAGCTTGTGCTCTCCATTCCTGAATAAAAGCAAAATTCATTCCAAGTAGAGCTTACTTATCATGTCTGAACCAATGAATTTCATCTCATGAACAGTGTGCACAACAGAAAAAATGCCCATCAATTTTATAGTTCAAAAAATAGAAGCATTAATCGATGCATGTATCAAAATTTCATAACAATACAATGCTGCAACAACAAAATACAAAATGGGACTTAAGTTTCCAGCTTTTATGACATTAAAGAAGCTAGGCAACACCTGCAGTCCCTTCCCACATTTGACGAATGGACAAAAGATTTTATCCAATGCAGAATTCTCTTGGCCAGGGCAGGATTTTATCCAATGCAGAATTCCCTACATAGACGGACCGTTAAGTTTTTGACGCATGTGTTGGGCACGTGATACTGTCTAAAAAAATGACACGTAATCACTTCTGTCAAAAAACTTAACAGCCCGTCTATGTAGGGACCAAAATGGCAAAATTGAATATTTTAGGAACCAAATTGATAAAATTAATATATTGAGGACTACATTGACAAAAAATGTATACTTTAGGGACCAAAAGTGTTATTAACCATCTTATTTGAAAATGATAAATTTTGTCATTTCTAAAACAATAACACATAATTGGATACTAATTTCATGATAAATGGGGACAAACTAACCCATTAATATTATGCATCAATTCTATTTGCAAAAAAATAACAGACTGACCAAAACTGAATGCTCCATTTTCAAAATTATTTTGACTATTGGACGAGGGGCGAAGAGTGTATTCCACTTTAGGAGACGCCTCAGACAAACTTCATGAAGATTCCAGAAAAGGAATGAACCATAGATATACCAAACAAAATTAGATTTTGTTATGAGCATTAGAAATGGTAAAATTGATATTACCGAAATTAGATTTCATACCTTATGCCTTGTAGCAATTCCAGAAATCTACCTGAACCATCCTCCACAGGAGCCATTCGAGGATCTCGTTGCAACCATCCAATGTCATCAGAAGAACCACACCAAGTTATCCGCATACGGGAGATAATGCTAAAGATCCAAAATGAGATTCAGTACAACAAAAAAGGAAACTAGTACTATAGAGATTAATGCCAAAGAACCAAAATGAGATAACGTGTTAAAAAAGGGAACCTAGTTCTATAGAAATTGATCACATAGAAGTTAGTAAGTTACACAATGTACAATGCACAGAGGATATCAACTCTAGCAAATAGATTTGAAGAAAACATTTCCATACTCCATTTCAGCAATTGAACCACTGGTTGACAATGTTAAAAAGCAATTTGTTTACCTCCTCAAGCGAACTTGTGTACATCTAACATAACGAAAAGTAAATTTCCACGAGGCCAATGCCACCCTCCAAGCAAATCTGAGACCACATGAAGGGAGCGTCAACCTACAACCAGATGAACCAACTGCAAGATAAGTTTAGGCTAGTAATGCTTTGATAAAAAAAAGGTATAACAACAAATTTGAAACAAAATCAAAGTCTGAACATATTCATCATTCATTTCATTCAAGAGAAAAATGGTAGGGAAACACAAAAGATTTCAGCCTGAATCAAGTAACCATAAGAAAACAGGATACTGCAGAATCATTATATTTAGTATCAGAAGTAGGAGTCCAATACCCTTTAAAAATGAAGCGGACACCCCAAGAACAAAAATTACTTTTTACAATTCTGAATCTTGAATTTACAAGCAACTGCCTCTTGAGATATGACATTCTTGTTTCATGGATCCCAAGACTTGTACTAGCATTGCAAGGTCTTGGAGAAGATGAACAAGCCTCAGAAGCAGATATGCTATTGCTGTAACTTGATGGTCCTGGCTGTTGAGCAGAAAAAATGGCCACCAAATTTTCTGAGCATCTGTTGACATCTCGGAAGACTAGATCCTCTGTGCTACCATTGAGGGATAATGCAGCAATTAGATTCTAAAAGTCATTACAAAAACATTTCACTAGATGGCTTCCAAAAACAGCAAAACTATATAATTCCTGTATTTTACAGTTGTTGATGACAAGGGATACCTATCAAAACAACAAGCATAAAAGGTAGACAAATCAAAGAACTCACCAATATAGTGAATGAATCGACTGCCTATATAAGAAGTAAAGGCAAAGAGACGGGCCAAAATGTCATCCATTGATGCAAAGAAATTCCCGTGTCTTAAGAAAAGACTCTTGTTGCTCACAGCATTACACCAAGCCTGATACCAGGCTTACATTAGACCTGAAAACAAAGTTTCATTAAAACCCAATAACAATATCATAACTGTAATGATGTTAATGGACAAAATTCATCTCATATTGTCCCTTAAACTATATGGGCTTGTTTGGTTGCTGTATTATAAATGAAAGGATTTGATTAAAATACACCCATAATCCTATACATAATATGGGATCAAATTTGGCTAACAAACGAAGTATTAGGCCCATTTAAACAAATTGTAACCCAATTCAGTATTTAATCCACTCATAATATGTCAACCAAATGAGCCCTATATGATACAAAATAGACATTATATGTAGGTCAACCTAATTACAAATTTAAGAAGCAATTGAAACCCAACAATATCGCTAGGCAGATACAGCCAAGCACACAGTCCCATGCAACCAAATTCTGAGAATAAAACCTTTAGTTTGTCCAACTAGATGTGACTTGAATGGACAAAAGTAATGGCATTAAGCTTAAAATGCTATAAGAAAGAAAATCAAAAGCTAGCTAAAAAAACAAAAAGATTCATTTAAATTACATAGCAATATTATATCAAGACTAAAAAAAAAATCCCCCACAAGGTATTCCAATGGGTATGATTCTAAGTATTATATCAATCGAAAAAAGAAAAGACTAAAAATCAATCCATGCCGGTGCACAAATGGTTTTAATAGATTAGCGTTTGATGATGATGATATTTGAACCCTGGTGCATTCGCCTTGCACCAGTTTCCTTCAATTTAGCATTTGCCTCCCAACAAACAAAAAGAAGACCAAAAAATAAACGATAAAGCAAAAGAGAACTTATGAATAGAACATGGAAGCCAGATTCAGATTGACAAGAAAGCTGATATAGGTTAATATAAATTCAGTTCAATCCTGGCAAGAGACAATGGGATCTAAATATATAACACTTCAAAATATGTAAACAAAATCAGTAAAATAACACTCGTAAATAGATGGTTTGAGGACTACGATAACCACTCAAATGAAGAGGCACACAGGAAAACTGGAAGCTAACAGCCATTATTCAGATTTTTTTTTTAACCCTTCCAAATTGAATGCAAATTCCATCTTAACAATCTGGGAAGCCTATAGCTGTCTTTAACCCTCAAGCTCTAAAAAGGAATGTATGCAGCATTTTGGAGTGGTTGGGATCGATTTTAAATGTTAATATTGACCCTAAAACTCAAGATTTCATGAAAGGCAGCTACTAGCATTTCAACACTGCCACCATAAATGCAACTCAAACTCAAAACAATGGAACTGTTAGATTATCTTAGAATTCAAAAAAAACAATAGATACCCGGATGAGAAAAACAAACAAGTATCCAAAAACCATAACAAATGAACAATAAACTGATTCAAGCACAACAATCCCATGTTCAAAAGGACCCCTATGTAAAAAGAACCCAGACTGTAGGGAATGGCTTACCCCAAGCTGGAGAAATGTATGTTCACGGCCAGAGACACCCAAATCTGCAAATCCCAGAAACAGAATGCTCATCCGAACAATTTCAAACCCATATTTATAGGAATACAAGGGACAATCTTCATACATGATACAACCATCCCAAAAAAGTATGATATTTTCCAAAAATATTATAAAATTGATTATCAAATTTATTTAATAAATGAATAATATCTTTTCGATGGCAACCGAATGGAAAGGATGGAATTTAATGACAATGAAGAAGATGCAATGAAAGCTTCCCAAACAAAGCAACTGTATCACTATCCAATCCCTGTTACAATGGCCCACTTGAGGTCATTTAGGCGACAAATTCAAACTCAAGTTAATGGGTTTTCAGAGACTTGCAATCTTTTGAAAAAGTCCTCCAAAATTAAATCACCTGGGGACAACCCACTTGAGGTCATCTGGGACGTGAAATTCAAAATCAAGTTAATGGGTTTTTTCAAAAATTACAGTCTTTTTGAAAAAGCCCTCCAAAATTGAATCATGGGTCAAAAAGATTTATAATTTAACTGTGAAAACGAAGATTTTGAACCCTAAAAGCAGTCACTGTGTTTGATTAACCGGAGACAAATTGGGGAAGCACACGTGTTCGTTTGCTGATGAGTGTTTGGACAGTAAGCAAGACTGTGGATGTGCGACCCAACAAGAGATAGCGGTCAATGGATAGCTTTGGTTAGATGGCATCGACACGTTGCATGATGTTGACTTATTTTATTTTTTATTCGGTAAATGACTTTATAATTATATTTGGTCCTTTTTTTTTTTTTTTGATATTTATAATTATATTAGGTCACAAACTGTGTGATATAAGAAACTAGTAATTGCCCGTGCCTGAAGGCACGGCGTAACGAAAAATTTATGCAGAATTAATACGTATTCAATCATCAACACATATCCAACCACCAAAACATCAAGTTAATCCCTACTAATTTCAAGAAATTTATGTAGAATTTCTTTTAAAAATAGATATACAGAAAAATATAAACCTGTCTACAAAACTTACAATCATCACTACATACCCAAACCACCAAAACAACCATCATTCCATACCCAAAATCATCATAATTATGTATAATTAGTTAACTTTACAAAAGACGGAACACAAAAAATACACACATACACAAAATAAAGAAACAACTTCATATTCTTTACAACTTATACCAAGTATCCTTCAATGTATACCTGAAAATATTTGAAATATAAAAATTATCGAAATAAGTGAGTCAAAATAAAACAATTGTAAATCCGAAACATAAGACCCCTTACTTTTTTCGTTAGTTGGATTCAATAAAATTAATTACATTACCCTAGAATGATTTAGATTGATATAAGTAAGAATTTAGAGAGTTTGTAACAAATTATCAATTTATTTAGGAAAATATATGGAGGAATGTAGAGACTTACAATCAAATAAGATTTTCTTAGTATCATTTCAACAGACGGTTCATTTGCTTAATGATTTCAATCATAAATCTGTATTAGTGACAATATAATGGTGTGTGAGTTTGATTTGCGAGTGTTTGATTGGTTACAGTTATGTGTTTGTGTTTGTGCATGTATTGTGTGTTGTGTGTCTACATGAGAATAGAGAAATATAGAGTCTTAGTAAGAGAGATTTTCATACCTAAACAATTGTTTGGTCAGTGATGAGTTAGTCATCGTCAAAGGTGGACAGGTCGGTAATGGATTGCATATCATTTAACTCTCTTAAATGTCTTATTCATCCCTTTAAACCTTCTCTTCATCACTATCCTTAATGTCCTCGTATCAATACGAACGCACTTTGCCCAATGAGGAGAATGCACAACCACCTAATTATTCACATAAACAATAAAAGTAACACAATATTTATATTGTAGGAATAGTAAAGTTATTTTAATACAGTGACATAAAGTAGATTTACCTGATTACGTCGGCCCCATCCACAAAGGTCCATTGTATATACACTATCGTTCTCGTTGACAAATTCACTCCAATCCTATAAAGAATGAATCTCATTGTAAAACTAAAAGTTGAAATGATGAAAAGATTACATAATTCAGTAGAAATAAATTTGTTTAAACTATACCATTTACTTGTCGTAAGAATCTTATAACAAAACTTCTGGGTAAACAATATTTGTAGTGCAATTCGACCCATCTTCTGGAAGGAGGACTGTAATACGATCTGAAGATGTGCATCTAGATAGTGCCACATAAAGGTGTCCATGACTAAAAACAGGTGTCCGCAAATCAATCCCAACGAACTTCACAGATTGTCCTTGGGCTTTATTGATTGTCATAGCATAAGTTAATCGGACAGGAAACTGACGTCTTGTCATTCGAAAAGGCAAGTCCAAAGATGTTGGTGTCATTGATATTCTCGGAATGAAGACTAAATTGCCAATTTTATCTCCATTTAATATCTGAGCTTCGATTACCCTTGAGGCACATCTAACAACCATCAATCGCGTGCCATTACAAAGTCCATCCTTTGGTGCAATATTTCGTAACAACATTATTGGGCATCCAACTTTCAACTCCAATTTAAACGGTGGCAACCCTGAAGGATTCAGCGAGTTTAAGTACTCATTAGGATATCGATTCCTAATGGTACGGTCAAGCTCATCACCTTCAGACATTTTATCTGCAGCTAAAAAAGTAATTGTCTCTCCCGGAGTAATATTCAGTGCTGCAGCATTTATATCACTGACGTCGTCATTACGCGCAGAGAGAATTGTGCGTTCAGTGAGAAAGGTTGGAGTCACTATACCAATCACATCCAATTGTGGATAGATTTTAAATATCAATTCATTTAGATTGTGACACCGGTTTATTGTAGATGGAAGTTGCACAATTTCACGTGGATTGGTCCCAATCTAAAAAATGAGAGTATAATTAGTCACAAAGTGAGATTTAATTCAAAGCATCATGTTAAAAAATTCAACAATTCAAGGTGGAATGAAATATTACCTCCATCAAGAATTTAGCAAAATTAGTATTTCGAACGTCGGTGCGAGTTAATCGCATGTTTAAACCTAGAGTCAAAACACATATATCTTTCCATAGCAAAGACCGTCTCAATGATGCACCCACAATTTGCTCACGAACGCCTTTAGGAATAACAGGCAATATTTGTCGAAAGTCTCCACCCAGGACAACAGTGATACCCCCAAAAGGTCTTTTATCGTCTCTGATATCTTGAAGGGTGCGATCGACTGCCTCAACACAGTATCGATGCTGCATAGGAACTTCATCCCATATTATCAACTTTGTTTTTCTAAACAATTCGGCATGCATTGATTGTTTAGTGAACCCACATATTGAATTGTCTAGGGTTTCCAAAGGAATACAAAATGTAGAATGTGCAGTGCGCCCCCTACCAATAACAACGATGCAATACCAGATGAAGCCACAGTAACAACAACATGTCCATAACTACGCAATTTGGTTGCAATGGTATTGTACAAAAACGTTTTTCCCGTCCCAGCACCTCCACTCAAAAAAAAAGTAGTTGCTATGTTTTCACATACTGACGTTGTGACGGCAGTATAAGCAGCAAGTTGTGCATCATTAAGACCGTCAACATTAATTTGTGCATCAGACTGTTGTGCTTCATTCTGAAGTTGGTGATGCTCAAACAATAATCTATTTCTAACTGTTGCATTCCAATTTCCAATTGATTGTGGCATGGGTGGAAAGTCAACTAAACTCTTCCCCGACTCATGGAGCAATTGATTAATCAAATATAAGCCATAATCTTCAATATGATCATTAGTTGGATTCAAAATACCAAACATAGTACGAATCTTGTGTGCTAAATCATCACATATATGTGCTGAGAATTGCTTCCACAATGCAAATGGATGCAATGGAAAGCATTCCGTTAGAATTATGGCAAATAATCTTCTTAATTGGTACCCCGTTCTCATAATTGCAGCCTCTTGAAGACATTGTATCCATTCTTCATCATCTTCAAGAAGTCCTCTTGCAACACATGCTGACTTGAATGTATCATGCATAACATTATTTACCGTGCGTAGCCAGTCAAATGAAGTAGGTCCTCTGACAACAGTTAGAAGCAAACGTAAATAAAACCGCTCACCTGAATTAGGGCTAGCAAAGTACATTCTACCAATTGCATAACCCCTTTGTCTTGGAGTCCATTTATTGATAGACTTGTTCCAAACAAATTTTTGTGGAAATTCCTGATAAGTTAATACACGTGCAGATTCATTTGCAGCGCAACAATCAAAAAAACCAGTTAGAGTTGTTTCTTGATGTGCACCTTTAGAAAGGATCGTATCAAAAGATTCAGCAGGGTTAAAGACCACACGATGCATCCCAGGCAAATGAAGTGCCAATCTTACAACCGACGGAATCTCTTCATGTAAAGGATTACCAAATAATCGCCACGCAGCTTCTGGAGGTCCAATATACCTAGCATCAAGATATTGTTGGATCTCATTAATTCCTCCAAGTACCATTGTTGCGCGATCATGTCCTTTATAAATATACTTGTGAATGTATTTTACACATCTGATTCCTGCACAAACTTCAACATTGATATGACAGTTGAACATTCTTGATAAGTACGGATTATGTGGCACAACATCTCTATTATCAATTTCTTGTCCCCTCACGATGTACTTCTGACCAGTATTACGACGACGATAGACAGGATATCCATCAGAGTCCATACTTGTTGATTCAACAAATGACCGAGGGTACCGCTTGGTACATACCCCATTTTCCATACATGATGCTTGTGGATTTCGAGCACCACATGGTCCGTGTACCATGCAACCTATGATTGTTTCAAAAAGCAATGGGTCAGTTTGACAATCCGGAAATTCAGCACACACTACTCTGTCCACTTGAGCACATGTTTGGATTTTATCAGAACCATGAAGGAACAAAAGTGCATGCATGTGCGGTAACCCCCTTTTTTGGAATTCAATTGTAAAAACATGTGCCACTTTTCTACCAAAGACGTTATTTGTTTCTATCTCCTTCATCAAAAAATTTCTCTTCAACTCAAAAACACGGGCCACTAAATCAGGACGGTCAGTAGGGATCTGATTTGGCAATAGGGAATTAGTAATTTCAGGCCATTTGGGATTTGCAGTCATAGTTAAAAAAATATCAGGGTGTTGATTATACCGCGTGATAGCCATTGAATCTTGAAAAATTTCAAACATATGTCTTGCACTACCAGTGAATGAAGATGGCAAAACCATTCGTTGACCAACTTGTTCAGGACCAAGCTCATCTGCACAAACATCTGTAAGACCTTGGTAAAGTTCTGCACGAAGCTTTGATTGATTCAATTTGTAGTATGTCAACCGATTTTGTTCAGTAGCGGCCCAAGCATCTACCACAAATTCTTGAAATAATTTTCCAGCTCTCAAAATCGTTGAATACTCAATGTCACGTTGGAACATACGATAACTGTAATATTGCAACTGTGTCAGTCGAGTAGATGAAGGTCCA